TAAAAAGGAGGGAACCATACCACATGGGAAGCAGGATATACAGGAGACTCATTGAATGGCAGGTGTCTTGCTAAACAGCACGCTGGCCTCAGAATCAATCCTTAAGGCATTCGGATCTGGCTAAAAAGCCCATGAGAGGATTTCAGGCATGGAAAGCCAATACACTGTGCCAAAAATAAAGTGACCTAAGTGAAAGATCTCTGTGAGTGAGATCCAGCAGAAAGTATGAGCCATCAAAGAAGGAGGTATCTTACTGTGAAGGGAGGAGAGAACTTACACATTGACTATGGCCATGTCTAAAAAAGATCAGAGTTGGCAAACTCAGAGGCTTCAATAGCCATGGTAGCTCATGACAAGAGCCTCAGGTGATTACTGACATCATAAATAAGAGCGTCAATTGTTAAATCAACAACAGGAGTCACTGTGCACTTACTCCCCATGTAGGATCTCCCATCCTTAATGTGTTGTACTATGTGAATTAACAGCATAACTAGTACTCAAACAGTACTTATACTGTGTTTCTGTGTTTGGGTGCAAACTGTTGAAATCTTTACTTAGTATATACTAAATTGATCTTCTATATATAAAGATAATTGAAAATGAACCTTGATGTGAATGGGATGGGGGGGGGATGGGATGGCTGAACATGGAAGGGAGCTTATGGGGGGAAAAAGCCACTATATCAAAAAGTTGTATTTTGGAAATTTATTTATTAAATAAAGGTTAAAAAAAAATCTGAATTCTCTGATGTATGACAGATTTGTGACAAATGACTTTTTCACACTATTACTATTTATAAGCTTTTTCCATGAAATGAGTCCCTTTGGATAAGATGTGATTTCCAGCATAAGATATGTCATAAATACTTATATTATTTGAGGGAAAACTCTTTGACATGCATTATTTTGTTTATTTATTTTTTAGACAGAGTTACAAAGAGACAGAGACAAGGGTCTTTCTTCCATTGCCTGCTATGGCTGGAACTATGCCAATCTGAAGCCAGGAGCCAGGTGCTTCCTCCTGGTCTCCCATGCGGGTGCAGGGGCCCAAACACTTGGGCCATTCTCCACTGCCCTCCTGAATCACAGCAGAGAGCTGGACTGGAAGAGGAGCAACCGGGACTAGAACCTGGCACCCATATGGGATGCCAGAACCACAGGCAGAGGATTGACCAAGGGAGCCACGGCACTGACCCCTTATTATATTCTCAGTCTCTCTTCTGTTCAAATTCCATGATGGATTATGAGGTATGACCTATGAAAAAAAGCTTTCCCACGTTTATTTCATTCATGAGATCTCCACTTTGTGAATTCTCTAATGTTGTACCTGAGATTTTGCAAAGCTTTCCAACACTCATTACATTCATAAGATTTCTCCCCCATGTGAATTCTCTGATGTCTTATAGGGGATGACTTCTAAGTAAAGGCTTTTCCACAAGATTACTTTCAAAGGCTTTTTTCCCTGTACAAATTTGATGATGTGCAATGAGGGCTAAATTATGGTAAAAGGCTTTGTGAGTCATTCCATTCATAAGATTTTTTCCCGTGTGAATTGTTATGATTGATGAGGTATGATTGGCACCAAAGGCATATCCACACTTATTATAATCTTATTGTTCTCGCTTGATGAATTGTTATTTGATAAAATGAAACTTGCACAAAAAGGCAATTGTGTGCAAAATTCCCTGTATGAATTCTAGATGTTTTAGTTGTGAATTATATCAAAAGGCTTTCTACCATCATTATTAATGACATTTCTCCCCTTGTGAATTCTCTGATGCTTTCTGATGTTTGACATATGATCAAAGGCTTTTACACAGTCATTGCCATCATAAGGTTTCTCTCCTGTGACTTCTCTGTTTATTGAGTTCTGAACTGCACAAAAAGGCTTGTCCACAGTCATTACATTAATAAGGTTTCTCCTGTGTGGCTTCTCTAATGATTTACAAGGCTTGAGTTTTGGCCAAAGTCTTTACCACAGTCATTGCATTCAGAAGGTTTATCCCCTATGTGAATTCTCTGATGACTTATGAGGTTTGACTTCTGGCCAAAGGCTTTTCCACAGTCATTACATTCATAGGGTTTCTCCCCTATGTGAATTCTCTGATGGTTTATGAGGTGTGCCTTCTTGACAAAGGTTTTCCCACAGTCATTGCATTCATAAGGTTTATTCCCTGTGTGAATTCTCTGATGTAGGATGAGATCTGACTTCCACCTAAAGGATTTTCCACATTCATTGCATTCATAAGGTTTCTCCCCTGTGTGAATTCTCTGATGACTTATAAGGTTTGACTTCTGGCCAAAGGCTTTTCCACAGTCATTACATTCATAGGGTTTCTCCCCTGTGTGAATTCTCTGATGCTCTCTGAGGTGTGCCTTCTGGCCAAAGGCTTTTCCACACTCATTGCATTCATAAGGTTTATTCCCTGTATGAATTCTCTGATGACTTATGAGGTTTGTTTTATAGCCAAAGGTTTTTCCACATTCATTGCATTCATAAGGTTTCTCCCCTGTGTGAATTCTCTGATGATTTATGAGGTTTGACTTCTGGCCAAAGGTTTTTCCACAGACATTACATTCATAAGGTTTCTCCCCTGTGTGAAGTCTCTGATGACTTATGAGGTTTGACTTCTGGCCAAAGGTTTTTCCACAGACATTACATTCATAAGGTTTCTCCCCTGTGTGAAGTCTCTGATGACTTATGAGGTTTATTTTATAGCCAAAGGCTTTTCCACACTCATTACATTCATAAGGTTTCTCCCCTGTGTGAATTCTCTGATGACTTAGGAGGTTTGACTTCTGGCGAAATGCTTTTCCACAGTCATTGCATTCCTGAGGTTTCTCTCCCATGTGAATTCGTTGATGAGTTATGAGGTGTGGCTTAACGCCAAAAGCTTTTTCACAGTTAGTACAATCATAAGGTTTCTCTCCCGTGTGAATTCGTTGATGATTTATGAGGTGTGACTTAAGGCTAAAAGCTTTTTCACAGTTAGTACATTCATAAGGTTTCTCCCCTGTGTGAATTCTCTGAAGCTTTATGAGGTTTGTTTTATACCCAAAGGTTTTCCCACAGTCATTACATTCATAAGGCTTTTCCCCTGTGTGAATTCTCTGATGTTTAATCAGATGTGACTTCTGGTAAGTGGCTTCTCCATGTTCATTAAACACATGAGAGTTTTCCACTACATGAGTACCATGATGGATGGTATGGCAGGATTTATAACTGAATGAATTTCCCCAAGGCTTACATGCATAGGGTTTCTTCCCTATAAGTGGTCTATGATTTATTTTAAGATGTGATTGGTCAATGACAGGTTCCAAAGAACTAGTATATTCATAAACTTTCTCTTTTCTGGGACTTTGTGGATGCATACTGAGGTTAGAATTTTTATGGAAATCATGTTCTATTTGAGTTGTCTTGCCAATAGTGGCAGTTGACTTCTTACTTTCTACCATAAAATGCCTCTCAGATTGACAAAATATATTTTTCCTTTTGAAGACTTTGCCTTTTCCAGTTGGTTCAAAAGCCTGTAGCACAGTCTGAATTTTGTACTGTTGATTAAGAGCCTCACAGAACTGGAGAGCATTCCCAGGTACCTTAGTAGCATCACATTTTTCTCCAGTTTGTAGTTGAACAGGCCCACAGTGGGGATGCACATTGTGACATATATTGTATTCTTCAGGTTTCATTCTTGAATAGATTCTCTTTTTGATACTCAGTTTTGGAATATGGTTTGAACTCAAATGAAGTGTTTTTCTTAATTCTATGATGTTGGGAGTTGATGTCTTATTATTTTTCATAACATCCTGATTCAGATTTTTGTTCTGACTTTTCTGGTTTTTCCTAATCAGGTCATCCCTTTTCATGACAACTGAAGTGAGAAAAAAAATAATGTTGTCAATAAATCAAATATAATTCTTTCTCCTGGCATACTCATGTAAAAGGAATGAAGTTACTTGTATTTAAGAGGGATAAAATTAACAAAATGAATACAAATCACTGCTTGGAATGTCTGCATCCAAAAACAGTGCCAGTTTCAGCCCAGGCGACTCTGCTTCAAATACAGCTCTCTACTACTGTATACTATGGGGCAGGAGATAATGGTTCTTGTGCTTGGGACCCTGTGATACATCAGATTCAAATAGTTGGAATGCCAGGCTTTTGGCTTCAAATTAGTCAGACCTAACTGCTGCAGGTATCTGGGGAGGTAGCTAATAGGAAATCTCTTGCTCACTGTTTCTCCTCTCACTGACTTTCTGCCTTTCACAAAGATGAAACACCTATATAAGATTTTAAAAAAAGGACATATGTTTAGCAAAAATAATCAGCTATTACCTAGAAATCAATTTTTCCCTGTCCTATTCTTTCCAGTTCATTTTTATAAAATTGTCTGTTTTGTACTTCTCTGATATTTCAAACATCAATATGGGAAACTTTTACTGGATCATTTTCTTGCAGGTGGAGAAGAGTGAAATTATCTGTATTCCAAGCAGGATCACATTTAAGGGACAAGATTTGCATCTGTGGTTGTCTCATGTTCTGTCTTCCCAGGGAAACAGTATTTGTGGGATTTTTCTGATGAAAAATTATTTTATCTGCACTCTATTACAGTTTCCCTATATTTCTAAGGAACCCTGACATCCTCAGCTTCTGAGAGCTACAACAGTTGCAGAAAGTTCCAATGTACCACCTTCGGTATACATTCACAACAATTTAAAGGATTCGTTTCTACAGACCACAAGCTGCTCAATTTCATGAAAATTATTTCTATCTCATTGTGAAGTTGTCAACCCTGGTTTCTTCCTTTCATTTCTTTCTATGAACACTCCTCTGTGATAATATGTGACTCTGGAGGTTTTGATCAGTTGTTGATTTTCACATGAAACTTCATTTCCTTTGCCTTTACCAGAGATACTGATCTCCATAGATACTGTAGAATAACTGTGTCTGTGGTAAGGCTTGGGAAAAACTCATGGAAAGAGCACCACTCAACATCTGCTACACTGTTTCTACCTTGGCCTCCCTGCCCGAAATGTGCAGACTGACCTGGAAGGCTCTGATGTAGGCATTCTTCCCCCATCCAGGGCTCTGCTCCTAGCTCCAACTTGAAGATCAAGTCAGGTTTGTTCACGCAGTGTCCTATTAAGGGAAATAATGTAAGACTTTGTGAAATCACTATCTTGGGTTAATTGAAGGTGAACAGCTTGTTCCAGGAGCTATGTAACCAATGCTCCAATATTTTTTTAACTTTTATTTAATGAATATAAATTTCCAAAGTACAGCTTATGGATTACAATGGCTCCCCCCCCATAACTTCCCTTCCACCCGCAACTCTCCCCTTTCCCTCTCCCTCCCTCCTTCCATTCACATCAAGATTCATTTTCAATTCTCTTTATATACAGAAGAACAGTTTAGCATATATTAAGTAAAGATTTCAACAGTTTGCACCCACATAGAAACACAAAGTGAAAAATACTGTTTGAGTACTAGTTATAGCATTAAATCACAATGTACAGCACATTAAGGACAGAGATCCTCCATGAGGAGTAAGTGCACAGTGACTCCTGTTGTTGACTTAACAAATTGACACTCTTGTTTATGGCATCAGTAATCACCCTAGGCCCTCGTCATGAGTCGCCAAGGCTATGGAAGCCCCCTGAGTTCACCAACTCTGATCATATTTAGACAAGGTCATAGTCAAAGTGGAAGTTCTCTCCTCCCTTCAGAGAAAGGCACCTCCTTCTTGGATGACCTGTTCTTTTCACTGGGATCTCACTCGCGGAGATCTTTCATGTAGGTTTTTTTTTTTTTTTTTTGCCAGGGTGTTTTGGCTTTCCATGCCTGTAATACTCTCATGGGCTTTTCAGCCAGATCTGAGTGCCTTAAGGGCTTATTCTGAGGCCAGAGTGCTATTTAGGACATCTGCAATTCTATGGGTCTGCTGTGTATTAAGCTTCCCATGTTGGATCCCTTTGGCTCTTAGTCCTATCATCATGATCAATTGTGAACGGAAAATGATCACCGGAACTAGTGAGATGGCATTGGTACATGCCACCTTGATGGGATTGAATTGGAATCCCCTGGTATGTTTCTAACTCTACCGTTTGAGGCAAGTCAGCTTGAGCATGTCCCAAATTACACATCTCTTCCCTCTCTTACTCCCACTCTTATATTTACAATGTTCCAATTTGAATTCCTTTTCAGATGGTAGATAGTCGGATTCTTCATGGACTCAAATTCTATACCCGTCCTTCATTAAACTTTATAAATACTGCTCACTTATTTGTCAAATAGTGAGGAAACGTTACCATTGGGCATGTGATGTGCGTCACTCACCCACAGAGGACAGGCTGCTGTAGGTCTCCAGCATCACATCCCTGTACAGGATTTTCTGAGCTTGGTTCATGTTCTGCCATTCCTCCCAGGTAAAGTACACAGCAAGCTCTTCAAATGCTATCATCACCTGTGATAGAACACTCTTGGTCAACATGTCAACTCTGTCATATAGCAAACAATGGCAGTTGCATATCTTCTACATGGGTATGGAAGAAGAAGGAAGGATGTTATTTCATTTCAGATTCGTTGAGCATTTGGACAGCCACACAGAAGCATTCAACAGGGGGTCAAACCTATGGTATAAAGGCTGTGAAAAATGACCAAGCTGGAGGGAAACAGGAGTTTCAGCTCAAAAGGCCAGACTATGTCAATGGCCATTGCACATGACAAGGTTGAAAGGGGGACAACATTCACTCTGGAATGAGCAATGTTCAGAAGAATGTAGAAGTATTCAGGGAAAAAGACAAGAAACCATCAGGAAGCTATGAAGGGATTGAACAGAGAAGAATTTCCAGGAAAACACTATACACAGTCAGTGCAATTATGGCAGAGAAAAAAATGTTTTTAAAGAGACAGTAAGCATTTAACTTAGTGTTTATGATGCTAGCTCAGATACTCTATCTCTACGTCAAATTTCCAAAGTTGGATTTCAGTGCCAGCTCCAGTTTCCAGCTCTCAGCTAATGCAGAACAGGGGAAGGAATGTTGATGCCAACCAAGAGGAAGGCCTAGATTCCATTCCTGACTCTTGGCTTCAATTGTGCCCCATTCCTGCTTGATATGATTATTTAGGCAGTAAATAAGTGCATGGGAGTTTCTAGCTTTCTCTCACTCCATCAACTTCTTTCTCTATCAATCTCATAAATATCTTTAATAAGGGAAGAGATTCAAGAAAAAATAGAAAGTAGCTTTTTCTTTTTCTATAATTATTCTACTCATAAACATTTAAAGAACTGAAATAACATTATCACAAATTAAAGTAAAATCAATGGAATTATTTACCCAAGAACAGACCTTGAGAAATTCTGCAGTATAATCTGCATTTGTGACTGAGGGAAATGCAGAGAGATTTGTTTGAGAACCTGCAGTAGGCACCAGCATTGTGGTGCAGCAGGAAAGCCTGCACCCTCCACCTGCAATTCAGGAAACCCATGTGGACAGACAATTTGAGTCCTTGGTGCTCCACTTCCAATTGAGTTCCCTGCTAAAGTGCCTGAAAGAGCAGTGAAAGATGGCCTGAGTATTTGGGCCACTTCCACAAATATGGGAGACCCAAATAGAGTTCCAGGCTCCTGGTTGGCCTGGCCAACTATTGTGGCCCTTTGGTGAATGAACCAGTAGATGGAAGATATCTCTTTCTCACTACCCATATCTCCCTATCTCTATTACTCTGCCTTTCAAATAAATTAATAAATAAATCTTGGGGCTGGCACTGTGGCACAGTGGGTTAATGCCCTGGCCTAAAGCACTGGCATCCCATATGGGTGCCATTTCGAGACCCAGCTGCTCCACTTCTCATCTAGCTCTCTGCTATGACCTGGGAAAGCAGTTGAAGATGGCCCAAATCTTTGGGTCCTTGAACCCACATGGGAGACCCAGAGAAGCTCCTGGCTCCAGGCTTTAGATTGGTTCAGTCCAGCCGTTGCAGCCAACTGTAGAGTGAACCATCGAATGAAAGATTTCTCCTCTTTCTCTCTCTGCCTCTCCTCTCTCTGTGTAACTCTTTCAAATAAACAAATAAATTGTTAAATAAAATCTTAAAATATGAAAAAACCTTCAGTAGCTTATTTTCCCCACACAGTCCCTACTCTATCTGAGAATCAAGTTCAGCTACTCAAACTATTAAGGACTTCATTATTCTAACAATTAAAAAATAAGTGCAACTGATTTCTGTTTTAGCCCTAAGTACCTCTTTCCCTTGTAGAATGCTATGTGTTATTTCTAGGGTGGCACTAAAACATGGCCCACTACATCATCTGTATAACAATAAAGATTGTATTGGACATCATGACCCCTAGATTTAGAATATTAACCTTGAAGCTTCATTTGAAAATATAACTAATATATATTTTGCTATGGCAACAGAAAGATGATACCAAAGTGCCTTATCTTGGATAACTGCAATGCTTGATAGTCATGACAAATTCATCATTCATCTCGTTTTTATATATTCCCGGAGAATAAAATTTATCTTTATTTTTCCATTTTTATTCATAAATTATTATAAATCTAAAATGAAAACTGACAGCAAGCTGGGGAATAATTAAGAAAACCACTTGGAGAGGCTAGTGCACAGTGGGCTAAAGCCCCAGCCCACAGAGCCAGCATCCCATATAAGTGCCAGTTTGAGTCCTGGCTTCTCCACCTCAAATCCTGCTCCTGCTAATATGAGTGGGAAAGTACTGGAGGATGACTCAAGTGCGTGGACCCATGCAACTATGTGGGAGATGCAGAAGAATCTCCTGCCTCTTGTCTGTAGATTGGCTCAGCTCTGACCATTGTGGCCTTTTGGGGAATGAACCAGCACATGGAAGACTCTCTCGCTCTCGCTCTCTTTTCCTAGCACTCTCTGTGACTCCGTCTTTCAAATGTATAAAATAAATATGTTTTAAAAAGTACACAATTAGCAGCTGATGTATTAATTTTCTTTGAAATATCTGGAGGTGCCCTGAATCTGGAAGAAAACATGAATGCAAATATTTAAAAGAAAATTTCTTGGCTTTCCTTCTACATTGCACTGTAGAAAAAGGAGTGCTAGAATGAATAAAGAATCATGAATACATAAATAGAGAAAATGTCAACTTCACCATGGAGGAGTAAGCGTTTAAACATGGAAATATATAGGCCAGTGCTCCCACCTCTATTAAGTGGCAGAGATTAACCAGAAGTTATCCTTGGTTTAATGAAAGCATTGCCAAAATTTTATTAAATGATAATGTAACAAAAAAAAACAGTAAAACTTTGTTATTGTTGAAATAAATTATGTTCAGTGAAATTTACACTAATGAAAGTTATTTTGGGGACTGGCACTGTGGCTTAGCAGGTAAAACTGCTGCCTGTATCCCATATGGGTGTCAGTTCAAATCCCAGATGCTATACTTCAGATCCAGCTCTCTGCTATGGCCTGGGAAAGCAATAGAAGATAGCCCAAGTCCTTGGGCCTCTGCACCCATGTCAGAGACCTGGAAGAAGCTCCTGGCTACTGGCTTGGATTGGCATAACTCTGGCCATCATGGCCAGTTGGAGAGTAAATCAGCAAATGGAAGACAACTCTCTCTCTCTTTCTCTCTGCAAATGGGATTGTCACAGAGTATCCAAACTTCCACATTTTTGCAAATTAGGTCTTGTATAAAGTTCTGTAACCTTGAAAGAGTAGTGCAAGGCAGGCTACACAATGCAGGAAAACAGACATTTTCCTATAAGAAGACATACCATGAAACCCCAAAAATGCAACTGCCACATAGTGTAAGTCAGCCTGCACACACCTCACAAGGATTTCTCAGGAAATGCAGGGACATTTCACTAGCAGTGTTAATGTACTCATCTTACAGACAGCTAAACAGTGACAGAGGTGCAATCAACATTCACCCACACACATTTCATCCAAATGGCCTGAACATCCAGCTCCATCCCACTGCCATCTTAGATGAAACAGACTTTATTTTTTTTAAATTTTCTTTATTTGACAGGTTGAATTACAGACAGTGAGAGAGAGGCAGAGAGAAAGGTCTTCCTTTTGTTGGTTCACACTCAAAATGGTCACAACGGACAGAGCTGTGCTGATCTGAAGCCAGGAGCCAGGTGATTCTTCCTGGGCTCCCACATGGGTACAGGGGCCCAAGCACCTGGGCCATTGTCTCCTGCTTTCCCAGGCCACAACAGAGAGCTGGATGTGAAAAGGAGCAGCCGGGACTAGAACTGGCACCGATATGGGATGCCGGCACTGTAGACAGAGGATTAAGCTAGTGCACCACAGCACCGGCCCTGGATGAGACAGACTCTACAGAACTTTTGGAGCTGCCTTCTGTACACCTGGAGACACATTGGTCTTGTTTCAGTGCACCAATTTTTGACAAAAATATCTAAAGTCTCAACCTTATTCACCCTTTCTCCAGCTCCAGAACTGAGGATGTGGCATTGGTGTCCCTTCCTGGGCCAGCCAAGATCTACAGGGTGCACCTGAATGACATAACTTAACACCTCAGATCTATGACTGTCACCTATGCCACCAAGAGCAGACACCTGTCCTGCTCTCCAAGGTTCCTTTCATCCTCACACTAACATCCACAGACACAGAAACCAACCACACAGCTCTTGAGCATATGAGGAAAACCCCAGGGTCAGGAATTCTGTGAAGATGGTGGGAGTGGTTGGAATGGCACATGCTGAGAAGGAGGCCAGAGATTTCCCATGGTCCTGACCTGCTGACATCATGGGCAGATGAGGCTAGATTCCCAGATACCAATGCATGTCTCCATTAGGAAGCAATGAAGATGATCCATGTATCGGCTGGAAAATCAGCCTCCTGGGACATGGAGGGGATACATCAGAACTTGTCTAACCACATGAGATACCCACATAATAATCAAGTCATTAATGTTTGACATATATACAACATAAAGAAACATAGTATAAGTGGAGAAATTCAAATGTGGAAAGAATTCTTGGGAATTGTATTTAAATTTATCATTATTTTTAAATGTCATAATTAAAATATGGTTCTAAAAACCTCACATATTTCTTGTGCTTTTTTTATTTTAACTATTTGAAAGACAGAGTTATAGAGAGAGGTAGAGCAAGAGAGAGAGGTCTTCCACCTGCTAGTTCATTTCCCAAATGCCACAACAACCAGAGCTGAGCTATCCAAATCCAGGAACCAGGAACTTCTTCTGCGTCTTCCATGCAACTGCAGGGGCCCACGGACTTGGGCCATCTTCCACTCTTTTCCCAGGCCATAGCAGAAACAAGGTTCAGAAGTGGAGCAGTGGGTTTCCAATCAGGCCCTATATGAGATGCCAGCACTGCAAGCTAGGGCTTTCACCTGCTGCACAAAAACACCAGCCCCCCTAAATATATACTTCTTACAGATACTCAGGAAAAGACTCCAAGGATTCTTTGTAACTTAAAA